TTTTTATTTTATGTGTATGAGTGCTATGCCTGCATGTATGTAAGTGCATCCATGTCATGTGGTGCCAAAGTATAAAAGAAGAGGGCATCAGATCCCCTGGAACTAGATTTTTCAGGTGTTTGTTAGCCACCATGTGGGTGCTAGGAATCAAACCCAGGTCCTCTGCAAGAACAGCCAGTGCTCTTAACTACTGAGCCATCTCTCTAGCCCCTGAAATCATATTCTTAAGAGAAGCAGGTAAGTCCAGCTCCAAATTAAAAAGCTAGCAGTTTCTTCCCCTCAGTAGATTAGCTCTCCAGGATCCATGGGATATACTCTAAGACCATACTGGGTGCCTGAAGCTGCCTGTAATACAGGATCCTCTATGTCAGTAACACTCACTCCTTCACCTCAAGGGAACACTTTGCAGTTGTCTTTAGTACATCTGAATTGTCAGCATTGCTACTTGTGCATTTTGGAGCCATTATTAAGTAAAATCAGCAGTATTTGAACAGAAGTACTGTCATTCCACATACCCAATTTGATAACCAAGACTACTAAGTGACAAATGGACAGGTGTAGTAGGGACCTGCCAGACATAAGGAATGTCCTCCTCTCAGGAGGCATGGAGTGAAAGTTTATCATGCAACCTAGAAAGGCAGACAATTTAAAACTTAGGAACTGTTTATTCCTAGAATTTTCCATTACATATTTTCAGACCACAGTAACTAAACTGCAGAAAGCAAAATCATAGACAAGGGAGGGGGAAACGACTGCACATTTCATTCAGTCTTGTGTTCCTTCTCATCTGTGCTCAGTTGAAATCTGTAGGATAGCTACCCAATGAGGCGGCGAGCTCCTTAGTGTAGGCATGGCATGACTCTTCTAAGCAGTTCCTCCATACTGCCGCATAGGTGCTGTCAGCAATACCAAGGAGAGAAGTCAGACTGTTTCTTTAATAATGTTGACTTCCTTCCTTTCGTTAAATCACATTCTATTTCAAATTGCATAGGAATCACCTTTGATTCTTAGAACAAGTTGCTGCTACCACAGATTCGAGAGTTCCCATCGGCCAGCGGACTGACAAAGAGTAGCCCAAAACTGGCATACCTGGACAAATATCTGTAGCGCCCCAGTGAGTTCTAAGCCCAAGTGCTCTCAGTCCTTGTTCTCCATATCTGGTGATGAAGCGTTTCTAGGAAGGTTTAGCAGGGCTTCAATTTTCTTAGCATCCTCTTCAGGTTGATTTCTCTCTAAGTGACTTTCAATTTCCTCAGGGAGGAGCTCAGTAAACTGCAGTCTCGTTTTCCTGTGATCAAAGAATAAAAAGGATGTATGAAGTACTGCTCTAATTATTTGTCCTCATAGAGATTTAAAACAACAAAAAATAGTATTTGACATGTGCTCCTTGTTTTGGTCTATCAGTTTATAAGCAAACACTGCTTTTGCACTTCAAATACAAAGACTTTCTTCTCTCCCCTAATCTGTTCCAATCCCAATTCCATTTCCACATTACCCAAATGGACACTGAATAGCTAACACATTTCAGGAGAGCAGGGTCTGGAGTTCTCACAAGGGTGAGATGGGAGCAAATACACCTGTACTAAGATGTAAGTCTCAAAGCTGGGCCTCCTCCCATATTTCAGACTCAGGGACTGTGAGCCTCTGCCACCATGTATATTGTCTGACCAGACCGTGTAGCTGATGATGACTATGCAATGGTGATCCAGGTAAAGTCAGATAGGACAACTCTACAGATACATATTTATGAAGTGTTAGAATCTAATTTCTTTTTATTTATTATTTTTATGTGTATGAGAGTATTCCCTGTATATATATAAGTGCACCCATGTCATGCAATGCCCAAGAAGGTCAGAAAATAGAGTCGGATCCCCTGGAATTGGGAATTTCAGATGCTTGTTAGCCACCATGTGGGTGCAGGGAATCAAACTCGGGTCCTTCGCAATAATAGTCAGTGTTCTTAACTGCTGAGTCATCTCTCCAGTCATAGAATCTAATTTCTAATAGATCAGTTCCTTTTCTAAATCAAGTATTAGTATCTTTCTTTCTTTAAATGATTTTAAAGACTACCTACAACTTTTTTTTCAATCCAATCAGATTTGACTATTTTCTCTACCACATCTCTATAGCCAGTTTTCTGTATTTTCTGCTAGGACAATTTTTAAAACTACTGTTTTATTTCTTTATGTTATTTTCAAGAAGAGAGGTAGACATAAATATTTGTTGAACTAACTCCTTGACTATGACTAGTAATAATCAAATACATAGAGATTAGAGACACGTGTGCAAACATCTAAGTGTTAGTAGCATTAAAAATGAGTTTTTCTGTATGAAACAGTATATTTTAAAATGAAATGGAGATCTTTTTTAAAGGTTAAAACCTCATTCAATTTTATGTCTTATAGGGTTTATACTGAGTTCAATATTGTATAACTGTATTAATCCAACTGTGAATCTAAAAATTTACAGCCAATTTTGAATGAGATGCATTTTTGCTCTGGAAATTGTTATTGAATATGTTAATGTTATTAATGCTTCTTCTAATCATGTTATTAAATAAATAATTAAAAAATATCTAACACACATACATATAGAGGTTGCACATTTAAAAATATTTCTTTTGACTGAAGTATTCTTTCATTACTATAATTTACATTATTATTTTTACTCATTCTCAAAGGTCTCCACTGAAGAATCAGTGATCAACTTGTGTTTTATCTCACCTCCTTTTTTCACTGGAATATAGTCATCAGTTGTTCATATTTTCCCAAATGTTAATTCTTTCATAGCATCTTCTACCAGAATGAAATTGCCAATATCCTTTCCTTTCTAACCCTTTTTTTTGCATATTATCAATTTATCTTTATTTCTGAATGTCACAAACTCCAATCAGAATACTTTAAAAATATTTTTTTGCATGCATTTAACAAATCTGACAAAAGGACAGGTATCCAGTTCACTTCCTTTTCAAAAATATAAGTTTTGCATGACACCTCGAAAACAGGAAATAAGTGAAGGCTTTCATATATATTTTTTTAAATTATGTGTATGTGTGTAACTTTATGTGGGTACGTGAAAGTGCATGCAGGTGCCCAAGGAGGCCAGAGATGTGAGATCCCCTGGAGCTGGAGTTACAGGAGGTTATGAGTTACTCGACATGGGTGCTGGGAACCAAACTCAGCTCCTCTGTAAGAGCAGCGTGTACTCTTAAAGCTCAGCCATCCCTCTAGCCCCCTTCCATGCTTTTAATTCTCCGCAACATTAAAGTTTATGTTGGCACTTGGAATTTTAAGTGCTTTATCCTGGAACCTGGACAACTACATGCCCTGCCTTCTCTCTCAACACGAAGAAGAAGGACCAAACAAACAAAAAAGAATGCTGTGCATTACAGTAAATTCTGTACCTCGAGCAGCTGGAAAAACTGACGTTAAAGTTAAGGAAAGTATCCAAAGTCACACAAGTAATTCATATCCTAGTGGTAGCAGATACCTAATGAAGAGAATTGCGAGTCTTAGGCCAGCTTGGCTACATAAGGCCATCCTATCTCAAAAAAAAAAAAAAACCAAAAAAACAACAACAACAAAAAAAAACAAAAAAACCGAAACAAACCTACTGTAATTTATATCCAGCTGAGATTTAAACTCAGTTTTCAAGGTTTCACTGGCTCCAAATACTTTTTCTCCTATAGCACTAAAGTCTTTGGGCAAGAGACCTATTTAGAGCAATTATGAATGTCCATATGTGTATATGTAATACAAATGGAATTTTCAAATAAAATCACCAAAGCAACTGCTTGTCTGTTGAACCAGAAAAATAGCAGCACCACACCAGATGTCCTCACAGACACCCAGGAGGCTGAACCATGATAATCATTTGTACTGAAGAGGGCTGGATGGCAGTCTGCTATGCTGAGGTTACAGTCTATACAAAGTCACCCCTCAGTCTTGCCACCCTACCCTAAGAAATGGAGATTATTAAACCAGGCCTGCTGGCACAGTTCTATAATCCTATCTATTCAGGAGGATGAGGCAGGAGGACCACAAGTTCAAAGCCAGTCTGGGAAATTTAGTGAGACACTATCTCAAATTACAAAGTGAAAAGAGGGCTGAGATTTGGTTCAGTGCATAAGGGCATATGCTCAATCTTGAGAAATGGTACCCTAAAATGGTACCCTTATGATAGAATAAGCAAAAGGTTTTATGCTCCACAGTGGCATCCCACTCATGGATAGCTATTTTACCTATTTAATTCCTCTCTATCTACAGCAAGTGGAATTTTTTTAATGTGAAAACAAGCACAACACATTTTAATTTTTTTTTGAGACAATGTCTCACTATATAGCCCAAGCTGGCCTGAACTCATGGTGACCACGCTGCTTCAGCCCCAACATTAAAAAGAAAAAAAAAGGAAGTACAAATCTATATTACTACCTCCAAGGCTCAAGGAACACTGTGGAAGGGGGCAGAAAAAAGCTTAAGAGCTGAAGGAAGGAGCTGAGTGTTGTGGAACACTGTCTTCCAGGCATGACACAGGCACTGCACTCTTGAATTCACAGCAGCTATAACATTCCCTGCACAAGCCTTGCACAACATTGGGCCTGCCAACATTCCTTTATGGAGTCGGGAGGAGCTCATGAGGTCCTGCCCCTCCTTGAGAATTTATAGGAAATTAATGGTTACTCGGAAAACAGGAAACATTTTCTTTAGTGATGTGGCCACTAGTAAGTTGCCTGTGCTCCTATAAACAACCATTCAACAATGCTCCTGCAAGTAACCCTAATTAAATTCATTGGGACACACACACACACACACACACATGCATACACACACGCATATACACACAGAGCAAGAGAGAGAAACACAAAAGCCTTAGACAAAGATCCTTATCAGAGTTAAATTAAAATTAAAAATAAAATTAGGGACTGGAGAAATGGCTCTTGATGCTCGGTTTGGTCCCCAGCACATACATGGTGGCCAACAACCATTCATAACACCAGTTCCAGGGGATTCACCTTCCTCTTTTGGCCCCTGTGGGCACTGCATAACATGGGTGCACTTATATATATACAGGCAAAACACTCATGCACATAAAATTTTTAAAAATTAATTTCATTTCCTTAATTAGATTAAAGAACCATAAACACTAAAAGAATCAGTAAGAACAAACTCTTTGAACTGGGTGGTAGTTTGGAAACCACTGGTTGTGAACTGGCTGTGGCTGTGAAGTCACACCCATCCTCACAGGCTCCTTACCACTCCTGCAGTTTCTGCTCCTGCAGTGCCTTCTGGTCCTTCTGCCTTCTCTCCTGAATTGACTCATCGTAGTACTTCTGAAATGCCATCACCAGGCTTCCCATAGGCATGCTGAGGGAAAGCAGAACAAGTTCAGGGAAGAAGACGTTAGTTCATGTGATGTGAGTATCTCTGCTAACAACACCAGAGCCACTTGTTCGCTGCCAGACAGGAACATTTGACAATTACAGCACCTTTGTCAAATTAAAAAAAAAAAAAAAATCAAGGCACTTTTCTTCCTGGTCTTGACAACGATACTACCACTACCACTGTAGCTTCCTTAAGTTAACTGGAAAAACAAAAACAAAAACAAAAACAAAAAACAGGTCTAGAAATGGCTCTATTTTTATCACAATTGAGAAATAAATCAAGACAAAGAAGGAAAACAAGTATTTATTACTAGCTCTAGTAAGCAGCTAAAAACTGAAGGTTTCTCAGAAAAGAAATTACTAGTTCATTCTGAATGGTACCAGCCTTCTGGAGGACGGGATATGTGGTGGAGATTTTTTGTTGGGGGAAGGATGCTACTGGCTTGGAGGGATACAACCACCAAAACATCTTAAAATGCCTGCCTCAGTTGCTATGTCAATAGTTATGTACTAAGAAGCTGATTTAGGGGCTAAAAGGTTGACAAGGTTGGTAAAGTGCTTGCTGTGAAAGCACTAAGACCTCAGTTTGGATCCCACATAAAAAGCCAGGTGTGGCAGTATGTGCCTGTAATCCTAGCAATGGGGAGGCAAAGACAGCAAGAACCCAAGGGGGTGATGGCCAATCTGGTCAATCAGTGAGTTCCAGGTGCAGTGAGAAACCTTGCCTTAAAAAATAAGGTGGGCCGGGCACGGTGGCGCACGCCTTTAATCCCAGCACTCAGGAGGCAGAAGCAGGCAGATCTCTGTGAGTTCAAGGCCAGCCTAATCTACATAGTGAGTTCCAGGACAGCTGGGGCTACAGGGAGACTCTGTCTTAAAGAGACCGGAAAAAAAAAAAAAAAGGTGGAAGGCTGGGTATGGTGGTGCATGCCTCTAAATCCAGCCCTTGGGAGGCAGAGGCAGGCAGATGTGGCTTGGGCTAAGTCCATCCTGTTTCACATGGTGACTTCCAGGCGGGCTGTGACTAGGGAGACCATGTCAAAAACGAAACAATAAAAACACTTCACTCATAAACCTTATTTCATTTACTTGAGAGTGTTTGAGGAAGATACATCTCTGACCTACACATACACACACACACAAAAGAAACTGATTTAGGTAATTATCATAGTGATAAAGAGAATTTGTTTCTTGTGTTCTCAAAGAGAAAGTTTTAACTTTGCTATAACTTAAGTTCTCTCTGGCTATGCCTTTAATAGTTGTATTTAACATTTTTTTTTCCTAAGCAAAACAACTCAAAAGTCCAATTAGCAGAGTGGATAAAGAAAATGCCATACACACACACATAGAGGAAAATTATGCATCATTTAAAAAGGAAACTGTTGGGGCTGGAGAGATGGCTCATGGGCTAGAGATAGCTCAGTGGTTAAGAATGCTTTCTGTTCTTTCAGAGGACCCAAGTTCAATTCCCAATACCAACATGGCAGCTAACAACTGTTTGCAACTCCAGTTCCAGGGGACCTGATGCCCTCTTCTGGCCTCTGAAAGCTTTGCATGACATGGGTGAACTTACATACATGCAGGCAATATACTCAAAATAATAATAATAATAATAATAATAATAATAACGACAACAACAAAAGAGCACTGACTGCTCTTGCAGAGGACCTGGGTTTGATTCTGAGTGCCCACACGGCAGCTAACAACTTTCTATAACTCCAGTTCCAGGGAATCCAATGCCTTCTTCTGACCTCCTCTGCATTGCACAACATGGGTGCACTTATATACATGGAGGTAATACACTCATACACATAAAATAAAAATAATAATGGGACTGGAGAGATGGCTCAGCAGTTAAAAACACTGGTTGTTCTTGCAGAAGACCCGGGTTTGAACCCAGCACCTCTGTTCTCTGTGGGCATTGTACAACACAGGTTCGCTTACATACATTACATGCATATTCATAAAATAATAAAAAAATAAAATAAAAAATAAATAAAGTATTAAAAAGAAAAGGAAACTGTTAGCCAGGCATGGTAGTACACTGCCTTTAATTCTGACACTCAGGAGGCGGAGGCAGGTGGATCTTTGTGAGACAAGAGGCCAGCCTGGTCTACATAGTGAGTTCTAGGCTGGCTGGGGTTACAGAGACCCTGTCTCAAAACAAAACAAAAACAAAAGGAAACTGCTATATCCTACAACATAAATAAATCTCAAGTGAGTTATTATGCTAAGTGAAATAAGCCAGTTACAAAGGGTAGTGTATGAGTCCATTCACTTAAATACTACAATTCTAGTATGTATCTTGAAATTACAGAAAAAAGAACATAGAAAGAAGGTTGTCAATAGCTGGTAGAATGGTGGGAAGAATTACAGTTTAATAAGTGTGGAATTTCAGTTACAAGATGAAAAAGTTCTGGAGATTGGTGGTACAACAATATTAATACACCTAACACTACTAAACTACACTTAAAAATGGTTAAAATGTGGAAAGGAGGACATTATGAGAAAAAAGTATGTATAAAAAACTAATAAAAAATGGCTAAGATAGTAAATGTTAACATGTTTTTTAAGTAAATAAAATATATTTTTACTGGGCTGGCCACATAGCTCAGTTGGCAGAAGGCTTGCCTAGATGTATGCAGCCCAGGGTTCTATCCCACACTGCATACAACCAGGCACAGTGGCACATGCTTATAATCCCAGTGCTTGGGATATAGAGGCAGGAAGATCAGAAGTTTAGGGTCAGTCTTGGTTACATGGGAAGTCTGAGGCTAGGATGGACTAGAAACCACATATTTTTTAAAAAATATGTATTTTATTTATTAATTTTATTGTACGTGTATATGGTTGTTAGCCGCCATGTTGGTGTTGGGAACTGAACCCAGGTCCTCTGCAGGAGCAGTCAATGTTCTTAACTACTGAGCCAACTCTCCAGTCCCCTAGAGACCCTGTCTTGAAAACTTTTTTTTTTAAACTCCAACAACTTTTCCCTACAAATCAAGCTGATATATTTATACTATAACAAAACAACATTAGCAGTGATATGCTGAATTTCTTAAATTCAAAAATTATTTAGAAATGTGTAAATTGGGACTAGATGGCTCAGAGGTTTAAGAGTACTGGCTGCTCTGGCAGAGGACCTGGTTTCAGTTCCCAGCACGCACATGGTAGCTAACAACCGTCTGTAACTCCAGTTCCAGGGGGTTGGATGCCCTCTTCTGACCTCTGTGGTTATTACACCACATGGGTTCACTTACATACATGCAGGTAATATACTCATACACAAAATAATTTTTTTAAAAAGAAAATGCATAAATTGAGGCAGTTCTAGTGGATCCAATACCCCCTTTGGTTTCTATGTGCATTGCACATATGTGGTGTACCTACAGACATGCAGGCAAAACACTCATACACATAAGATGAAAATAAACGTCTAAAAGAAAAGAAATCCATTCCTATAATCTCAGCACTCAGGAAGCTAAGGATAATAAGTTCAAGGCTACCCTGGTCTATAGAGTGAAACCCTAACCTCTTATCCCCTGAACAAAGAAACAGTAATCTATGGAGGTACCCTTTCCTGAAAGAGGTGGAAAGAGGCATGGGTTAGGGGAGAGGAAGGAGAGCTTCTGTTGGAAGAATGACAACTAATGAAAACAGAAGGACTGACTGAGTTAGACCAGCCACATTTTGTAACCACCTTCCTAATAACCTAACAGCAAGGGACCATCATGGGATCATTAAGCCACTACAGGAAAAACAGCTGGGGACAGGATGTTCACAGTCTCATCCTACAGATCACTCACTAATTACAATGGAAAAATCCTTTGCAATGGAAAACTGAATAGACAGCACCATAACTATGACAGGCAGAATCCTAAAATTGCTCCCCCAAATTTGTTGCCCTACTCCCTGCACTGTAACTACGAGGAGATAATTATACCCATAATTACAGTAGGTTACATGGAATCATGAATTTTGCAGATGTAATCAAGATAATTAATCAGCTGACTTTGAGTTCATCAGAAAGGAGATTATGAGTCTTTCAAAAGATAAGCTTTTGGGGCTGGAGAGATAGCTCAGCGGTTAAGAGCACTGACTAATCTTGCAGAGGACCTGGGTTCGATTTCCAGAACCCACATGGCAGCTACGAACTATCCTTAACTCCAGTTCCAGGGGAATCTGACACCCTCTTCTGACCTGTGGCACTGCACGACACGGGTGCACTCACATACATGCAGGCAATACACTCATACACATTAAAAAAATAATAAAAAATATAAAAGATAAGCTTTCTCTGCTGAGTAGAAGCAGAAGATTCGAAGTGGGAGAAGAGCTACTGCCATTCTGAACATGGACAGCCTATGAGAAAGAAAGATGTGGGTAGTCTCTAGGATCAGAACCAAGGAGCCTAAATGACACACCTGTGAGGAACTAGAAATCACAGACCTGTATCTTCCTATGCAAGGAACTGGATTCTGTCAACAGCCTGAGTGAGCACAGAAGCAGGCTCCTCCCCAAAGCCCCCAGTTAGGAGCTCAGCCTATTCAAAACCCTGATTTTGACCTTGTGAAACCCTGGGCACAGGCACTATTTATCCACTGTCTATACTTACCCAGGCTTCAGAACTGTGGGACAACAAATGGGTGATTTATTAGCAAGTAGTAACTGTACAAAACAAAGGGTTTCATTAGGACACTTCCATGCATATGCAATGTGCTCTGATCATACTCATTCCACACATCCTCACTTTTCCTCCCTCCCTTCTCCCATTGATCCTCTTCCTCTTCTCAGTCTTCCTTCTACTTGTAGATCTTTCTTTACAACTTAGATTCTGGGTTAGAGAGATGGCTCAGAGGTTAAGAGTACTGGCTGCTCTTGCAGAGGACCCAGGCTCATTCCCAGCACACACATGGTGTCTAACAACCTTCGGCAACTCTCCGGTTCCAGGGGAATCTGATGCCCTCTTCTTACCTCCTCAGG